CACAGTCTACACTGGAAATATAGCAACTTCCCTCTTGCCGAAGAAAAGCAAATGGGCAGGAGAAGCTGCAAGGCGGCGGGACCAGTTTCCTCCACGCAGAGCTGGACTGACCACAATTTCCGAACTCACAGTCTCCGCAGGCGCCGCCAACAGTGGACAAGGAGAACAGCCCACGCAGCGGCCGCCGCGCCCGTGGCCTCTGCTGGCTTTTGCCCTGCTGTTCCTTGTAGTGGTTTGTTCGGAACTTGCCCGGAAGAGACAAATACAACCTTCTGACGCCCCCGCCCCCAGGCGCGCACAGCTTTGGTCTCTTCGCCGCCCTTTCTGCACTCCGCCCGGCTTTGCGGGCCGACTCTTTGTCCGCCTGAAGCCCCGCATTCGCGGAATGTGGAGCCGAGAATAACTCAGCTCCAAAACTCCTCCGAAGTTAAACATTGACCAGAACCTCTTTCCAAGGGCTGCAGCTGCCCGGAGAGCAAACTCCTGCCAAAGGCCCGGTGCAAAGCCCCAAGCGGTGACGAGTTTGGGCGCAGCGCTTACCTTGCAAGATGTTTAAGACCGAACCCCAGATTGTCTCCAACTCCGGGGAGCTCAGGGAATAGCTTCTTCCAGTGTCCAGGAGCTCTGCGGATAAACAAACAGCAGAGGGTGAACGGTGGCTGCGAAGGAAGGGAGCTGGAGGACCCGAGTTGGAAGCGCGGCCGGTCGGGGCGCCAGGGTGGCCCCCGGGGTGACGCGGACACGGAGGAGTCGCCAGGGCATTCGTCCATGCGGCTCACTCATTGCTCGAAAGGTTCCAGTCTACAAATGGCCTGAAGATGGTGATTTATTTTTGTAAAATAAATACATACTCCATCTCCGCACCCACACTCTTCTTTTTCTTTCTTTATATAGGGGGTGGGAAGGGGGGAAGGGGCAAGAAAATGGACGAGGCGGAGCGAGATGGGAAGGTGGAAGGGGCTTTGCTGTTGGTGCCTGCTCTGCTCCGAGAGCTCCTCACGCACCTCAACTTGGGGAATGTGAATGCACGCTTTATTTTCTTTTCTAACAAAGGGAAGCCTTGTCTGGGAGCATTCAATCACCGACTCTCCCGAAACCTCACTAATAGTGTTCATTTCTGTTTGGCGCGAAATCAAACTCCAGCTCAGCCCATGGGCCAGGGGCAGCCTTGAGAGGTTTTGTCTTCTGGTTCATTCAAGCCCTGAGCGCGTCACTTCTCTGCCCCAGTGGGCTGGCAGGACTACCGAGCTAGTCCCTCACAGCAGGCCAGCTCTGGCTGCTGGAAATAGGAGGAAACTGCGAAGGCCGGGAGCATCCACAATACCCAATCTAGGGGCCCTATCTGGCCTCACCTTGTGCAGCGGGGACAAGCCCCTAGATGCCCCAGTTCTGCTACCACCTTGTCCCTCAAGATATCTGCAACCCTTTCTTGCTCTCTAAGTAGCAAACGGTCAGCCAATTGGGGGGTGGGGGGAGTACACTGGGGAAGAGGCAGTGAGCTCTGACTTGGAGAAGTTTTCCACTGGGCTGGGACTCTGCCGAGTGGGTTGCTTCCACATTCCTGTCCCTGCCCCCCTACCCCTTCACCCAAACCGGCATAGCCTCCCCACACTCCAGCCTGCTCCAAACCAGCCCTCAATGGCTGTCGGCATCCATGCAATCCTCCTGATAGCACCAAGACCAGCCACCAAATAGCTGACAGGTCCCCTGACCCCCACGCAGGCCTCACAGCCCCCTAGCACACTGACCCGTCGGCCTCAAACCAGAAGCTAGCTGCCCTCTGCCACCTCCACGACCTGCAGCCCCCACTCTCCATCAGGCACTTGGGACTGGGAATCTATGCTGGGCCCCTTTCTCTTGTTCAAACTCGCCCTCCATGGTCCCAAAGGGAGTGCCCCCTGGCCTTGGGGCTCCTGGCATGACCCCGAACAAGGTGGGGCTTAGCTACACAGCATGTGGCCACTCAACTTCGTCCCAGAAAGATCCGCTATGCCCCCATCCGCCAAGCCACCCCCACTCGGCGACGCTTAGGAGTGTTGTAATTATTATGGTTATTATTATTGTTGCTATTTCTTTATCCCCCAGTCAAATATTCACGGCTGCTGTTCCCCATAAATCGTTCAGACTAATGAGTCACAAAGAGATGTGGCCCAGGTCTCTCCCTCCGCCATGGCCGCCCGCCGCCGCGGCCTCTCTCTCGGCGATTTTGGCGCTCGCTCGCCCCTCGCCCGCCCGGCGCGGGTGATTTATGAACACCGGGGAAATTGAACAAAGCCGCGCGCCCGTCCTGTGGCATCTCCGCAGCCTTCCCCAGTGTGAATCAGAACATTACCAACTGTCTGCGCAGCCGTCCCACTTCATCACCAAAGCCAGGATGTGACCGCAGAGAACCCGAGCTCCAACTCGCCTTTCCCCGCGCGCGGATGTGGCGCGCGCCCCGGACTCGCAGAAACCCTGCAGAGAAAGCCCCGCGGCCCAGCGTGGGCCCGCAGCTCGGGTCCTCCCCTCCTCTCCAGCCCTCCTAAAGCAGTTCAAAGCCTTTGGAAATCATACTGACGGTGTAGGTTTAAAAAAAAAAACCAAATAGGAAGTTGGGGGTCTTACTTCTGAGAGATTCATTCCTAGTGAGGCCCTGCTGACTCCATCCATTCTTGACGATCGGCATTAATTATTTAATGAGTCACGTGACCTCGGGGAGATTACAATTTCAATATCTCCCTGGAACTGGCGCTACACCTTTATCTGCTGCCACCAGGGTCCTTGGTTGGCTTTTTTAGTTCCCAGGCCTCTGGAACGCAGACGCCCTTGCCCAGCTCTGGGGCAAAGGAACGCCAGCGAGATCCCAGGGCCGGCACAGCGGAGTCAGTCACTCCGGACCTAGGAGAACTGTGGACAGCGGGGTGTCCCCTGCTCTCCCAGGCACCCTGACGTCGGTCACCTCCTGAGCCCAGAGGTCAGCCCACTTATCTCAGCACCCTTCCAACCTGGCCAGCACACCTGCGGCCCTCCATGGCAAGTGTGAACCCAGGCCCATTGGTCCAATCCAGGCAAAATAACCTTCTCCCAAGGAAAGATGCCTGTGCAGGTACCCCCACCCAACCTGACACCAAATCTACAATTCATTAACACAAAGAACATGAAGGGGGAGCATTCCCCTGCCTCAGTTTCCTCTTCCGAAAACTGAGATGGAACCAAAATGGCTTCCAGATCTCTTTTTCCTGGGATATTCTTTCACTCTGGGATCCCTTTAGCCTCAGGAATCCATTCCAGAGAGACTGCGGCTGACCTGAAAGGGGGCAGGGGTTACTCCAAGAGTTTGGGGCCTTGAGAATAAGACATGACAGAGTTCCAAGACAGAAATGTCAAGTGAGAATATTTCACAACAGCCCCAGCAGCCTCCTAGGTGCTGTTAAAGAGTTAGAACACAGGCCTCTCTCCTTTCTGCTTCCCAGCCCATACTCTTTGAGAGAAGCAGCAGAGTTAGCCTTGGGTCTGTATATATTACAGAGAAGGGCAACCGCTGGAGGAGCAGCTGCTGGGCAGGGTGAGCCTGTGTTACCCAGTAGAGGACCTCACCTCGCCTAGGGATGCAGTGGCCAAAAGAGTGTAAAGATCAGTTTATTGCCTGCTCAGGACCCATTCATTCGGAAGGGGAAGCCCCAGGTTTCTGTTTGCTACGTGGATTCTTTGGGTTTTTCTTTTTCTAAAGAGTGGTTAATCTGTTTCATTGTGAAACTGCTGGAGGGACGGCAGTGGTGGGTGAGACCATCACAGTTTGGTAGCTTAGGGGAGCAGGGAGACACAGGAGGCATGGCATGCCCACCTCATGGGGAGGAGGCGGAGAGGTGGGGGAGGGTGTGGGCACCCTGGGAAGGTTGAGTATAAAGTCAGAGATGCTGTGCAGAGGGCCTACTCCCCATATATCTAGGTAATCTTCCCATGAGCTCCATCCTGGGTATTAAGTACTCTACTCTTCCTGTCACAGTTGAATTCCTGCTGTAATAAAACACCGGGTATATCGTAGATTTCAACAAAACTAGGAAAGAGAGCCTGCAAAGTGCCATTTTTCTTCAGGGGGGCGACTGTTAAGTACTTAATTCAAACTGTGACCATTAAAGTGTCTCCTATCCGATTTAGGTTGATTTCAGATGTTGACAAAACTTTTATCTCCCGACACATGCACAGCTTGGCTATGTGACTAAAGCAGATGCGTGTGTGTTAGAGGGAAGGAGAGAGAAAGAGGAGGAGAGCATGTGTAAGGGTCATTTTGGTAGGCGAATTACAGAGCTCACACAAAATACCATTTTTTAAGGTCAAGGGTTTGAGGGGCCAGTAGGGTTTCCTTAAAAAAAAAAAAAAAACAATTAATGAGATAGAAAATTTGTCCTCTGGGTGAACTCTTATGGTTGCCCTAGCAAAGGGCAGACAATGCACGATTTTGAAGCACAAAGTGGGATTTTCTAAGCTGTTATAACAAGCTGCTTTAAAAGACCAAATCTGAACCGGGCAAAACACTGAAGAAATGAAACAATCATCTGGGTCATTTTTGACTATTTTGACCTGGTGAAATTTACCAATACCTTAACAACCAAGACAGCTTGGGTAAAAATGTCATTTTGCACTGGATATTTTAAAAAACCCACAAAAACAATCTCCACCCTCCCTCTTCGTTACCCCTTTTAGCCCCACACAGCTGCCCTCCAGTACGCAGCTAATTAATGCCCTCATCCTCCCTCCTTCACTACAAAGGAGAAATATAAGAATTTACCTTAATTGATGACAATCTGCCATGTGAGGTTTTGCAGCTCGACATTCAGTTTCCACCAAGAGCCTAGGCATTTTTTGAGCAGACAGCCAAGATTCTGCGTCTTTGCCCGAGACCACATTATTTGCAAGAAGATCCCTTGCTTCTCCATAGACTTTTCCCAGAGAATGCCTTTCAGAATTGCTGTTGAATTACAAAGAAGTATTTATTGTATGAGGTGATTAATGATTCCCGGGAAAATTGCTATTTTCAGCGTGATTTAATTTCGTTTTACAAGTGCGTGTAGCAGAGGAAGGGTTAATAAGTTTCAGCAGCAGTTTCAGGGACTCCAGAGATCCCTGGCAGTCGTTCACACCTTATAAAATGCACTTTTTGCCAGGTTTGGCCTGATTTGAGAAGGCGGGCACTTGTTTGCCCCTGAATTTTCTTGGGGAGAGGTGGAGGCCCCTCTGAGGCTGGCGTCCATCACTTCCCTCCCAGATCTGGTTTGTTCATAGGTAGACAGCAGCTCACCTTTGCCTGTGCTACACACAGGCGTTAGGAATAACAGCACTGACCACTGGCTAAGGGTTCCCTGCTAATGGAAAAATATGTTTAAAATTCCCGTTATTGCAGAGGTAGGTAGGTGAGCACTCCCCTCCCATCTCCGCTAAAATTATTACATAAACTAAAAATTGCCCTCATTCAAGGCCAAGGGACAATTCTAATAATCTGGGGCTAATGTGTGTTGGTTTTTTCTTTTTTCTTTTTGTATCTTGCCCCTTTAGTGACAACTAAGTCTAAATTCTCTTGACTGATTTGTAAATCAGTAAACAAATACTAGGGTTATGGAGATTGAGACGTGGATTTTATTTTCAACCTTTTGAATCTAGATCTCTAGGTTGGGCAGAAAAATTCAGGAGCATTTGAGGAAAGTGACCCTTGTTCAGAGTTTGGCTTTCTTCCAGTACTGAATACTCCCAGGTCTACCTTGCTTGGGGTGCAATTGGTGGTGTCATTAACTTTTTCTTTCCTCAAAAGAAACTTTGGAGGGTGTACTGGGAAAATCCAGTTTATTTTGAAAGGTCTTGCTTAAAAAAAAAAAAAAAAAAAAAAAAAAATTC